ACTGGTACTCCGTGGGGGCAGGATGTGATTTGTACTTCTGATCCTCCCCCTTCGAAGGAAGAGGACCTGTATGAGATGGATGTAGGCTGAGAGCTGCCATCTTCTGCCCAGGTTCCCATGTTGTGGTAAGGAGGCTGAGAAGATGGGTTCTTCCCCCTGCCCCCTGTGACTGTAACACCAGGCTGGCTGGGTCTTAGCCACCACCACTGATGCCGCCAAAGCTTGAAGTTAGGAATGACTGTTGCCTTTATACAGGTGGCATGGGATGATCCTATGAAAGGACACAGCAGATTTGGACAACAGCAGTCTGGCTGTGAACAGTGTCTCCCGGTGATACCTGTCCTGAATTACAAGTCCCTTCCTTCGTGCGGCCCATACTGAGCAGTTAAGATGGAGAGCTGTGGAGTGAGGCTAACAGGAGAGACCTGGAAACCCATACAGATGCCAGGGACAGAGGGAGGGGAAGATGGGCAAGGATGCACACAGGCAATGTGGAGGTGATAGCGGCTCTCTGAGCAAGCCTTGTCACAGGCTAGCCCTGTGGTCCTGGACAGGGCAGTCCCTTAGCCTTGGTACCTGCCTGTGAGCTTGGCTCAGGACATTATGGAGAAATGACTTGGTCAAAACAGGTCTCTTGAGACTGTAGCATCAGGCAGGCTGTGTAACAAGATCATAGGCATCCATATCTTTACAGTCCAGGGTGCTGAATGCCCAAGATCAGGGTACCAGTGTAGACAGCTCTGTGCTGAGTTTACAGTTAGACCTCTCTGCTGCATCTGTAAGAGAGACATACAGACTGCCCCTGGGGCTCTTGGGAAGGCATTGTTCCCTCATGTCAACCTCATCTTGTATTTTGTGAGGTTTGGCACAGAACCTAGGGTTTTGTGCATGCTAGGGAAGCTCTCGATCCCCTAGCTTCATCCCTAGACTGTAGGCACCGTCTTCACATGCCATCACATAGGGACTAACAGCTCACAGTACAAACATGGGGATCAGAGAGAGTTCTGTCCACAAGCAGTCAGGAGGAGGGCTGGACTGAGTGGGCAAAGACACATATGCACGCCATATCAGTCACTCCAGGCAACCTCTGGGTCATAAGTACCACTGCTGGGCCAACAACTCCCATTAGAGGAGACTTAAGATGGGGTCCAGGCCTCACTTGGGTCCTGCAGGGCTTCTTTTCAGACAGGTAATGAATCTGGAGTGTAGAGGGAGGCACGTGTGCCTGGAGCCATCTGGGGCAAAGGGCAGACTTAAGTGCCCAGAACACAGGAGCAGGTGTTGTGGCAAGGAGTGCAGCATAGTCCAGGTCTGTGCACAGGAAGCGGGCTTACCTCGGCGTTGGAAGTCTATGGATACCTGTGTAGGGCATCCTGTGTTAAGGACTCGACTGTGAGCAGGTGGTAGCACTTGTGGCAGGGCATAGAAGAATCTAGAAGGCGAGTTTACGGGAGGGGCAGAAACCACCCAGTCACTTGGGAGTTGGGGATCTCACCCTCAGTGAAGGGAGACTCTGACCTGTGATAGGACGGGAACTGTGGGAGAAGCTTTTTTGCTGCTGTGGTTTGCACCTGCTCCTCCGGCGGGAGGGCTGAGCTGCCTTCCCCTGGCCTCCGTCCCACATGGCAGGCACACACAATCTCAGAAGTTGCCAAGTAGCCTTTGCCTAAGCCTTTCAAGCCACTGAGATGCACGGTTTCCCAAACAATTAGTTGTTTCTTCATCTCATTTGCGGTCACGGCTGCTCTGTGGGTTTGGATGGTTGTTTCCTGAACTCCGGTTCACAGAATCTTGCATCAGCCTTGATGTTAAGGCTTGCTTCACAGCCCGTTTTCTTGAAGAGCGAGCATACGGAAGGGAGAGGAAGCTGGCACGTGGCTCCGTTCAGAACGTTTCTGCTAGGCTTGCTGCTGAGACAGCTGTGTGGTCACTTGATTGACAGGAGAGGCGTTGCTCAGGGGACATTCTGCTGAGCTGGGGGAGCAGAAGCCGGCGCGGGTGAACTCAGCCTAGGAGGTCTTGACTTGATAGAGAGGCTACACTTCCTGGCATTTCTTCCTGGGCTCCAAATCCTTATGCAAGCATCTGAACATTGGGATGTGTTGATGTCCTGGAAGCAGGCTCTTCCCCTGGCCTACTGGAACCTTAGAGCCATCAGATTGAGCAGGCCCCTTGACCTGCCTCTGCTTCCCTTTGGCTCCACAACTCACAAATGCACAGCCCTTTCTAACATGTGCTGGGCCTTCTAGCCACGTGTGCCCGTGGCCCCAGGAGTCAGGAAGCCGGCAAGAGGGCAGATCCTTGACTCTGGCAACTTCTGTGTTTATTGTAATCAGTGTAGCTTAGGTAAATCACTTCTTGACGGTTGAATCACAGTGCCCGTGGCAGAAGAGTAGTGTGTCCTGTTTATTCTTCCTGTAGCCTTGTAGGAGACCCCCCAGAGTGGGCAGTGAGTCTAGGACCAATGGTTTTGGGACTTATGAGGAGGGTGCCTCAGGAATATGGAACTTTTACATAATGCCTCTTGATGTCCATCTCCATATTCCCAGAAATTGGCCAGAGCCCTCAAAGGGGTCCAGATAGCCTACTTTCTGTGTAACATGCAGGGGACAGGATAGTAGTCCTAGTTGCCAGAGGGTTCTAGACCCCCTTCTCTTTGTTAGGAGACGATAGGTAGCATTGCTGAGCACAGCTCCTGCCACAGCCGTGTCATATGACAGACCGTGCAAGAATTTGACTGCTACTGTGCTTTCATTCCAGAAGCTTCCAGAAGCAGTTAGCATCCTTGCTCAGTGCATCCTGAAGGTCTTTCAGATTTGGAAAACCCTAAATGGGAGTCCCTGGGGCTGGCTCCTGACTGACAGGCTCCCCAGGTCAGGAGAAGGGTATAGGGTGAAAAGATTTCCAACCCCAGGAAGGCAAGGTTGGTTCAAGCCACAAAGGGGCTCCCTAGGAACAAGAGCTGGTATGTCACTACCAGAGAAAGGTTGGCGGGGACTGTAGGGCTTGGGTCATGGCAGGGACAAACCCTTTCTTGCTCTCAATAACCTGGCCTGAGAACAGCAGTTCCATCCAACCTGGAACCAGGTGCGAGGCTGTGGTTGGTGCTGCCTGCCTTTCACCAGCACAGGGGATATGGATGAGAGGTTGGAATCACGGACCCAAGTTGAGCTGTATGCCTCAGACTGAGAGAGGCCCTGCCCCTGGCTTTACGCCTCGGGCTTCCACCAAGAGCAGCTGAGAAAGCTCATCACTAACAGGAAGAGGTGCCGCACCTCGACTCACACAGTGAGGGTACAGACTCCCCTTCTTTGGTACCAGCTTTTCAGTCCATGGAGGCAGGGCAGGCAGGAACTCCGACTATAGCACTGAGTAATTTGGTGCTCTGGTCTTGAACATGTGTGTGTAACACTACCATCCCCCTCCGGGCTGCTTAGCTTGGTGTTATGGGGACACACCGAAACCCTTAGCCGTGTGGCATTTCTGAGCTCTTTTTCTAGTGGAGGAGGGGAAGTCACCCTGCTGGCAGGCAGGGACCTAGCTGGAGGCTGAGGCTGTGGAAGGGCAGTTAGTCCCTCTTCCAGGACAGATGCAGAGGCATTGGAGTAGACAGGGGCCATAAGCTATGAGGTGTCAGCATTGCTGGGGATAGTCATGTGCATTTCTCACAGTGGGAACAAGGCTGGTGCTGGCATAGCAAACCCTGGGTTTGGTACATGCCTGTAATCTCATCATATGCAGATCAGAAGTTCAAGGCCATCCTTAGCTATATGACACTGTCTCAAAAGAAAAACAGTACACTGGGAATGAGGGGAAGTGGGGATTTTGAAGAAGTACCAGCTTTTGGGTCCACGGAGACAGAGGGTCCATAAATGAGTTTGAGTTATGTAAAGTTTGAGCATTATAGCAGACACCCTAACGATGCCATTCAGGGTGCTGGCCTGAGGTAAAACTCCTAACATGGCCATTGGCGAGGGTGTTATGTCTTTAACACCAGAAGGAATGGCCTGATAACGCTTGCTCTGGATTTTGGAGGAGCTGTCATAATGTAGACATGAAAGGCCAGACAGGGCTGTCTCAAGGCCTCATGCTCCCTGAACACTGGAGAGCAGCCCTCTGTGTCTCTAGAGAGACTAGGAAAGACAGGGTCCCCACATCTCTTACTGTCACTGTGAGAACAGATGGACAACTGGGACCATATAGTCCCAGGTCAGCCTTGGCCCCAGCCCTGTTGGAAGTTCTGGCGTGACTTGTATATGCTGAAAAGAAGCCCCTCCTCTCGGATGAGGCTCCAGGGAGTCCTGGCTCTCCTTGAGAGTAGATTCAAGTTCTGCACCCCCCAAGTCCAACAGTAACCTCAGAGACATGCAGTTCTTTGCATCAAAGGAAGCTCAGGCCTACGTGTACCCTCCAGAGGGGACAGGGAAGACGAGGACTCTGAAAATTTGAGTTGACAAGAAGCCGCTCTAAGTGGAAGAGAAAAGACAATAGATGGGTTTAAAAACAATGGCAGGTCTCCTCCTCTGAGAAACAAAGGGTGTCTTCATTGCTCTGAGGGGCAGAGGCTTTGAAGAGAATTAACTTCGGGGAAACTCTTTAGGAAAGCTTGGGAACTCTGAGGTGCTACATCACAGTAGATGGGTCCCTCTTGGACTTCCTTTTCTGTAGGCTCCAGGGCAGCCAACGTTTTCTCTGTGACAGCTATAGAGAGTGAGAGGCCTTCGGGGTTGCTTAGAGACATGTATAGCCCCTCATCTTGCTGTTGGATTTTGCCTCAGAGACTACTCCCATTTTGCATAAAGTCCCTCATCTCAGTGGTACTGACCCCAGTTGTTGCGTTCATTCAGGCCAGGAAGTTAATACAGAATCGGCCAGAAACTCTCGTCCAAGGGTGAAGTTCTGTCCTGGGTTGTGTAGCTAGGAACAAAGCTGAAGTATGATAGAGTACAAAGGTAATTTTTCCTTTTCTTCTCAAAAATGATTTTGCACATCTTTTTCAGAACTGATAGACACACACCTTAGCTGGATACAAAACATATTATGAGACCGAGTGACTGGTCTTTGATCCGAGAAATCAAAGTGAAAGGTAACGGATTCTTCTACTTCTCCCTGGGGTCACCAGCTATGTTTGCTTACCTCGATTTTATGGTTACGTCAGAGAGAAAGCACCAACCACAAGACTCTCTGCTCATTGGCCAACTGTCCTTGCGGATTCCACTCCTGACAGTGCCAAGATTCTCAGTCTGAGATGGGGGTGGATGCAGGGGTTTGCATGCTGTCCTGGGGGACCCTGCACCATACAGGAATGGGGGTTCTGAATTGACAGAAGCTCTGGGAAGCCGATCAGGAGACCCAGGAGCAGGAGAGTGTGTGTGGCCTTCTCTAGTACACAAATGACCTTGCTTGGCTTCTTGTCTGCATTGACTTAACTGACTTTGACCTCTGGGGCTGCATAGAAGGATCAGGTGGCTGAACCAGACTGGATGGCGCAAGCTTGTCCTTGACAGTATAGTCCCTATGGGTAAAGCAGGAAGTGACGACTCTCCTGTGCCCTTGCCATGTGATCAGCCTGACTTTGCGGCTGGAGTGCTGGGCCATGGCTGCCTTCCCACTTCTTTTTTGTCAGTGGAAGCAGCCCCTTTACCTCCCAGGCAAGGTCCAGATGCCCTTGGCAGAGTCACACTAAAAATCCCAGTAAAGAAATCAGTGCATAAAAGCCACGCCTGCTTTTACACACATGAGCTGGCAGCTCAGACCCCAGTCCCCCACTTTCCCAAAGGCAAGGGATAAAGGCGCCTGATACTACAGTGCACCCTTCCTGGGAAGGCCAGGTACTCATCTCATGCAACAACAGGGATTCAGACTTTGCTGAGGTCAAGGGCAGTCACTGTACCAGCCACCCTCTGCTGAGCATCACCCACGGCCCAGGAATCAGGCTGGTAAAAACAGGAGATGTTTTCTGTGCAGAGTGAAGTCACTTACAAGGCCCAGGGTGCACAGTGCTTCTTGGGCCTGGGAACTTGGGAGATGCCCCAACGGTCAGCCTCCCTCTGACCCCAACACTGACCTGGCCCTCGACCAATCGAGGGATTTTGTCCTTTCCACTGGGCCCGGATAGATGGCCTGGCTATGTTCTAGAGCATGCTCTAGTGGTCTTAGGTGTCCAGAGCCCAGGAAGGGGATGGAGAAAAGATGCAAGGTACATTTCTCCAGAAAGTAAGCACCATGATTGCATCCTCAGGTAGCATCTGAGCTGTGAGTGACAGGAAAGACCCTTCAAGTTCTTCAAGACCAGAACTGAGCCTTGACTCTAGAGGACACTCCCCCGGATCTTCTCCTACATCCATCTTCTCTTTCCTGGTGGCAGCCTTGGGGGTCACACTGAAGTTAGAGACACGTTCGTCCTTAGCCCTGTCTTTAGCGGGGTTAGCAGCACCGTGGCGGGCTGTCCCTCACCCATTCTGTTCTTAGTATATGTTGCTTTTGGTGGACCACCTGGCTCAAACCTGCCCACTGTAACTCAGAAGCTAGCTGGCCTTTTCCTGCACAAAATATACAGCGGGGATTCTGGGTCTCCAGAAACAAAAGAGGGTGAAGACTACACCTCAGCACAATTTCTTGACCAGCATGAAGGCCGCAGATTAAATAAGTTGATATAGCAGGCCGGACTCACATCTAAATCTAAGACCCATTGCCTGCTGTGGCAAGGGACCTCCAGTCTCTAGAGCGCCTGTCCACAGCGTAGCCATGTTCCTAGGGCTGAGGTAGGAATTAAATAGTCCTGCCATGCTCAGAAAATCTGCATGGTTCATTCTCTTGTAGATGAAATTTCTCGGCCAGTACAAGCCACCTGAAACACCAGCTGTGTGTACGGCCCTATGCACAGCACAATCTGTGAGACTTACGGATCCAACACTGACTTCTAGGGGATGTGTGAGGGAAGGAATAGGTACTGTTGGAACAAAAACAGACAGGAAGTTAGATATGGAAGTGGGTTCGTCCTGTGTGGAGGCGCATGGACCAAGGTGGGAAGATAAGCTGGCAGAGGGAGGAGAGATACAGAGGAATTATGGGATGGATAAAAGGGGGAGCAGACTCAAAATTCTGAGTCACCCTTGGGAGCCCTACCCAAGTCTGACATGGAGTCTGAAGTGTCTAGTCTTTTCGATCTGTGTCATCATGTCATTGCTGGGTATTTCCTGTGTCTGGGGCACAGGATACAGCCAGGTGTCTGAGCACACACAGCTTTAGCAAGTTGCCAGGAAGGGAGGGTACAGAAGAGCCTGTGTCCAAGTTGTGGCTGGCACGGGCAGAAGATGCAAACCTGAGAAAAGGCAAGGATGGCATCAGCCTGGTGGGGGACACAGAGGTTCAGAGGTTTGCTGGTGGCATGAATCAGAAGGTGGGAGCGGGAACTACGCATGCTTAGAGAGTGGTGGGCAGTGAGGTGGCTCACACAGGAACAGATGACAAGGTCCCTGAGGGGAACTCTGGAAAGCAGGTGGGGGATTGGCCCAGAGCAGGAGTTTGGGGTATAGGAGAATTAAATCATGATGAAAGAGAGAGAAAGGTGGACAGGAAAGGAACAAGACAGTGATGGGGCTGAGGGGGACTCTCCTTTCTAATGGGGAAAGATAAAGGGCAGACAGTCACAGTGGGCATTGTGGACTTCCTTCAAAGGGCAGCAGGCTGTCCTCTACCCTAGTGGCCTGCAAGGAGACACCTGGATGGAGAGGTTGAGCAGACCCCTCAGAACTTGGGGGCCCAAGTTTTAGCCTGATATAGAATAATGTAATTGCTATCATCTGGTTGGTGTATGTTCTAGAACTTTCTCCAGGGGTACGTAGGATTTCAGAAAGAAAAGCCACTACCACAGAGGTTGCTGGACGTGATAGCAACCACTATATAAGTCCGCAACGTAAAGATCTGAAATGGGAACCACTGCCTGAAGTTAGTAGGAAACATGGCACCTTAAGAGAGGATGACGGCACCTCTTTCTGACTGTTGAGAGATGGTTTAGCCTCCCAGGCCTGCACTCCTCAGAGGGAGCTGACCCTGTATGAGGGCCCATGGTGCCCAAAGCAATATCTATTAGCTATTTTCAGCATACCTGGGCCATGGGACGGTCCATGAAGGGTTGATTGCTTTTACCCCAGAGGCTGAGCAAACAAGGAAGACCGTTAGGATCCCGACTTTGAAAAGCTTCATGGAAGCTGCCAGTCCCTGCCCTCTGCTGCCAGTCCATGCCCTCTGATGCCAGTCCCTGCCCTCAGCTGCCAGTCCCTGCCCTCTGAATTTGCTTCCATTCCATCTCCAGAGGGCTGGCAGCTCCCTGGGCCCTGGCAGTGCTGCGTCAGCAGAGCCGGAGTTGGCATCCTTCCTTGAGCTTCCCATTTTAGGCCCCAGTGATCGAGCTGGTGCCAGAACACCGAACTATAGTACCTGCACATGTGGTCCCAGTCAGCTGATCATAGGAGTCCAGCCCCGGGGTCCTATTAACAGAGCTATTTACCATCTCGTAAGTGTCCGTTACGATGACGTCCCAGGGCTCACTCTTGAGCATCCCTGACATATAGCGCTCTGTTCTGCAGGCCCACACATCTTCTATCCAGGGCACTGTGGTCACTGAATTGGTGATGTACCCATGCTCACAGCACCAGGAAGCAGTAACTTTTTTGGACCCAGTTTATAGGCTGAGAAACTGAGGCACAGAGCGGTTCTGTCAGTAAAGCCAGGCTCATAATCAAGTCACAGCAGAAGTGGTATTCCGACCCCAACTGACTCCAGCACCCACTGAACTGAGCCCCACCTTCTCATGCAAAGCACTGTGGGTACACCAGCGTGCTCCTGTGACCGCTGACAGCGTCGACCGCCATACACCAGGCTTGGGGCTGTTCTCCACTCCACGGTTGACATTCCCACAGCAGATTTTAGAAGTCCACACTCATAGTGGTACACGTCTATGATCCCAACACTCGGAGACAGAGGCAGGAGGATTGCCCGTCGGTTCGGGGCCAGCCTTGGCTATGTCATGAGTGCCTAGACTGTATGTCCAGACCCCATCTCAAACATATTTTGTTTTAAGTGAAAACAGCCAGTGAGATGGCTCAGTGGGTAAAGGCACTTGGTGCCAAGCCCCATGACCCGAATTGTCTTTGAGACCCACATGGTGGGAGAGGACAGACGTCTACAGGTTGCCCTCTGACCTCTACTTACACACCATGACAAATCCTCACCCCAACACACATGCTGAATGTATAAGAGAAGACAGAGTGATCCTAAGGGGACCACGCTGCTATGACTCCGGCTCTAGAGACTCAGAGACAAACCTGGATTAGCCCATTCTTTTTAAAATTGTACCTGTGTCCATCCCTGTTGACATGGGGTCACAGACTCACCCAGGCAGGGGCCTCCTAGGACAGAGCACCTCAGACTGCAGAGCCTGGCATGAGGAAGATCTCCACAGCTTCTCTGCCCTGCCGTTTCGGGCTCTAACGTTCAGGAAACAGCGCAGATGAAAAACTGAGGAGGGTGTGGGGAGAAATCTTTCCATCCTGGGACTGGTTGATAAATGTTGCCAAAGATGTGCACTTAGTTTGGGGACAGGCTCTGCAGCCTCCCGCGTGTGCTGGTGACAAGAGCAGCTTATCTCTGGGGATGCTAAGGGAAACCCGTGACCAGATCTTTCATGCTAGGATCTCACACCCCATCCCAGTAACTCACACCTCAGATGAGCTGCCCAGTTGGCACAGGCCAAAGAGCTTCTCCGTGCCAGGGGCTGGCATTATGCCCACAGTTCCTAATGGAACCACACATGTACAAGGAAGGCAATTGGCTTCCAAGCCCCTGAGGACCCCTCCACTTATGGAGCCTTGAAACAAAATCTCTGAGTGGTGGCGGACCCCTCATTGTGCTGAAGGAAGGAAGGAAGGAAGGAAGGAAGGAAGGAAGGAAGGAAGGAAGGAAGGAAGGAAAAGAAAAGAAAAAAGAAAAGGAAACTTTGGGCTGGGTAGTGGTAGCACATGCCTTTAATCCCAGTACTTAGGAGGCAAGTGGATCTCTGTGAATTTGAGGCCAGCCCAGGCTACACAAAGAAACCCTGTCTCTAAAAACCAAGAAAAGGAAAAGAAAAAAAGAAATTTTATACAAGTGGGCAGTTAGCTATGACTGTGGAACCCACGCCCACCACCCCTGTTGTCTTTTTAAGGGCTCCTGAGTTTGGGATTTATTTATTTTTTTGGTCAGATGTGATAGGGTGCTTTTAGGACAAGATAGTCCCAGAAGCAGTTTGGTCAACACCAGTGACTTAAGTACCTGAGCTAATGGACAGGAAGGGGACAGTGGGACATGTTACCATGTGAGCAGCCAGCCGGGGGGGTGGGGCTTGGGTAGGCGCAGTGACATAGGTACAATGGCTAAAAGATCGCCACAGAGAAAACACAGGAAGTGACATCTAACTGGATGCCTGGTTTGGGTGACATCTCATGTGTTTGTTTTATTCTGTCTCCCTTTCTAGTTAATGAAATCATCAGGAAGGAGTTTTCAGGACCTGCCCCCCGAAATCAGACCTAGAAACAGCCATTATCGCAAGACGCCTTCCATCTTGGACTCCTTCTGTCTCCCCCTGCCTTCTCTGACTAGAACACTGTGTGGGCACAGCGCAGGCTGTTGGTGTAGGAGGCTGCTGCTTCTCAACGTTCAGCTCAGCTGATGTCCATGGTGACTGGATGAAAAGCCACTGCCTGCTGACCAAAGCCCCATTCTCAACTCACCAGGAAACTGAACTTGCCAGAGACCCGGAAGCTGGCCTGGGGGAGAGAACTGGGGAACTTCGATAGAGCCCCAGCCTACGGACATGGCTCCTCTCTCTCTTGAAGGGTGTTTAGACAGAGCAACCAAAAGAACATGGCCCAACTTTTGGGCTCGAGAACCCCAATCTCTGCAGGAGCCAAAACCGGAGCGTCTCATCTCTGCCCCAGCTGGGCCATAGCAGAGCTTTGTTTGTTTTCAGTCTTCTTTCCGAAGCCAAACTGCCTTGCCCTGACAGGACCACCTGTTCCAACTCCCGGCCTTAAGTTATAACACGTGTACATTGTTTGCCAGCTTCTGGGCCTTTGTTTTGTTTTTCTCTGCTTCAAAGAGCCAACCAAGGAGTCCACAGGCTGGGCCCTCTCAGCCAGCTCCTCCCTAACCCTGCCGCCTGCACCAGACCTCTGGTGGGATCCAGCCCGGGCTGCCTGTTGAGAACAAAACTTCCCAATGCTCCTCTCCACCCTCCTCCCAGACAGAGCCTCCTCCTCCCCGGAGCCGGAAGAACCTTCTGGGTCCTTGCATTGACTGTTACAGAGCTGAAGCCACCTAACCCAATCAAAACCTGCAGGTGTTTGTCATGACTGCCACCACACAGAACGACGGGGCTGAAATCTCCCCCTACCCTAAACTCAAAGCCGGAGCGTGCTGGCATAGCCCCATGGTTCTGTTCTTGCCTAGATGCACATCACATCACTGTGGAATCCGAGATGCTGCCACGTGAGCTGCACGTAACTCAGACAGATCTGCCCCAGCATGTGCCTTTGTGTGATCGAGGCCGGCTCGTGTGTCCTGTGGTGTCCTCTGCTCTCACACCACAGGTCTCCACAGTCTTCCTCCCCTGGTGCATTTTTTTTTTTGGTTTTCATTTTTTGTTTTTCCTTCCAACAGAGCCGCTTGTCTTCACCGCAGATGCCCCTCTACACATTGGGCAGGCATGTCAATGACTTTCTTGGCTCTGTCTGCTAGGTAGAGGGCCCGAATAGCAAGCCACAGTGGCTAAAGACCCATGATGGGTTTCTCACACTCTGGCTTCGACAAGGCCGTCCCAGGGTAAACCTTCTTGGGAGCTGAGCCAGCTATGGCTGGTTCTCCAGACAGAGACCCATACCCAGGGCTCAGCGTGAGCATGAAAGTGTGACTTCTTGGCTAATACAGCCTTTCTTCCCCCTAGCAGCAACACCGGGCTTCCCTCCACCTACCCCAAGCATACACCGGAGCGGGATTCTCTTTTGAACCCAGAATGTCCACAGGCAGTTGGGCACTAAGCCTCTGGTCCGAGGCACTTCCTAAACAAAGGAAGCCTCTGTGAAGCAATACCCACTTCTCTGGGGAAGGGTGACAAGGGCTTGGTGAGAGATCAGTTCTCACTTGCCCTGGCTGGGAGCCACTTTTTGCACATGAGGAATAGGGCCCTTCCTCGGATTATCTCAATGTTTTACCCAAGTGCCTTCCTGCAATTGTAGTGAACAGTTCAGCTGCATTGTGTATGGTGTGAGAAAGGGCTAACTCATTTCCTATTCATCTTCTAACCATGTCAGCAAGAGGGCTTCCCGTAGTTCAGACTCCTGTACCTGTGTGTGTGTGTGTGTGTGCAAGAGGGTTTCCCATAGTTCAGACTCCTGTACCTATATCTGTATGTGCGCATGTGTGCAAGAGGGCTTCCCATAATTCAGACTCCTGTGTGTGTGTGTGTGCGCGCGCAAGAGGGCTTCCCATAATTCAGACTCCTGTGCCTGTGTGTGTGTGTGTGTGTGTGTGTGTGTGCACGTGCACAAGAGGGCTTCCCATAGTTCAGACTCCTGTGCCTGTGTCTGTATGTGCACATGTGTGCAAGAGGGCTTCCCGTAGTTCAGACTCCTGTGCCTTCATGCTTGTATGTGTGTGTGCGCGCGCCCTTCCCCCTAGACTACCTTAGCTGAGTAGTCTAAGAAACCTTCTCATACACAAGTAGATCAGGAAGCCAGAAGAGAACGTCGCATTTGTTCCCAGACAGGCCAGAGAAAGTATACGAGCAGCAGGCAGCGATCCAAGGAGGTTTGGTCAGTCGCAGACACTAGAAGGAAACTTCACTGGTAGTGATGGCTTATACACCATTCCCAGAGTGAGAAGATGTAGTCTGATCTAAGTCCGTGAGGAAAATGTGCCTGAGTAGTGAGGGTGGGTGTGTTGTATGTGAGTCTGAAGGGTTGAAGCAGAGATGTGTCCTTGTGAATCCACGGTGACGTTAGTGTGGCACTCGGACGGTTTCGTCTTGCTGAACGTGGTACTTAACTCTTCAAAGTCCGCACATCTGCCTGATTGTACAAAGACAGCTGCTGGGAAGTATATATATCCACCCAGATTAGGATGGTATTAAATTCTATTTTCTTACCTGGATTTTGGCGCTTTTTATCTGCCCTCAAAATATCTCATCCCTGTTGGAGTTAGAACATATTTATAAATGGTCAGATGTCCTTTTAAGTTTTTTTTAAACATATATATCTTGATTTTCTGTAAGAGAAATGGTGTATTCTTGAATTGTTTTCTCATTCCAGAAAAACAAATCCAAAGGCTTGGCTTGGGTCCTCATCAGGACCTCGGGATAGGAGAGAGGGAACTGGGACGAGAGAGCATCTTTTTCTTGCTTGAGAAAGATACCGACTCCTTCGACCTCAAGCCTGGGTTGTCCCTGAGAATTGTACACAAAGGGTTTAGTAGGTGGTTTTGATTTAAAGCCACCAAATCCTGTCTTTTCATGGACTGACAAGATCCTAAAGGCAGGCTGATGCTGTCGGAACCAACCGTGTGGAGTTCTCACAGGTGGCCCCATGTACGGCATCCAAAGGACAGCCACCTTTTGTCTAGTACATCATAGCCATGGACAAAGTGAGTTGGTTACTCCCAAGACCTGGGATAGCTTGTTCACGTCCAGTGGTCTGGTCCTCTGTCGCATCACCACCAACCCTCAGCCACCAGTGGCACCGCCACACAGAGAGGTCGGAAGCAATGTACTTTGATCGTCACTCAGAACCAAAGAGAGACTGAGTTGGTTTGGTTTTGCACCACAGCGCTCAGCACTGACAGACTGTGGGGGAGCTACTGTGTCCATTAGGCACTCGGGAAAAGACACAGGGGTGGCCAGGCCAGGATAGACATTACTGAACTCTGCGGGAAGGGCAGCCTTGAGGAACCTGACACACCTTCGCCGGTGGCTGGCGGCTCCCAACTTTGGCCATCATGGACCCAAACCAGCCAGTTGCAGAGCGAGAGCTTCTCCTGCCCGCTGCTAAAATGAGGCAACATCACCTTCACCGCTGACCAACTCACCCGTGCCTTGACATACAGCCGCCATCCTCGTCTTAACCCGGTTCGTTTACACCTAACATAACTCCAGTGTTGGGCAAGAGCAGTGCTTCCCTGAGCGGGCCCCTCTGGGATCACAGAGGGGACCTGGCAGTCAAAGGGTTAATACTGTCTCTACGCAGCCCCTGAGGCAGATGGGAATAAATTCCCTGCCCTTTCAAGTTTTGGGTGGACTGGGTGCTGATGGTGCTGTTGCTGTGACTAGGAGCCGCAGTGTTCTGGTTGGCCAGAGCATACTGTGGGAGCATCCCAGACATCCTAACAGAGAAGCCCCTGCTCCCCGTCACCTCTCAGCTCTCACAGTCTCGCCATCCTAGAGGTTGACCCGGTTATGCCTGAAGACCAGGGTTTGGGGAAAACTCCCGACTGTCTTGAGGAGTCAGAATATATCGCATTCCTATGCAAAACAATTTTAATCTCCAGTTTCATGTAGTTTATTTTTGCTATATGTAAAGTATTTTTATACGGCTTGTATGATGACAGCTTAGCAATAAAACAGTTGAGAGCAACTTTTCCCTGGCTGTGTCTGCTTCTCTGGGAGGCAGGGTTGCGGCAACCTCAGAAGTGGGGTTCAGATAGCACAAAGATTATCCTCTCAAGAGAACTATGCTATCTACTTGATCTTGTGGCTCTGTCACCTTGGATAACTCAGATCTGCCCCATCCTCTCTACCCAAGGCTCTTGTCATCTTCCTACTGGTCCTCTTTCTGGGGTCACAGGCAGGAACAGACTTATGAGTCAGCCTTAGGCTAACTTCCAGGAAGTCCCAGAGTACCTGAAGTCATTTGGGGGCTTTCTGTTTGAACATCTAGCAAATCACCAGAGAAGAGAGAAGGGACCTTTTAAACCAGAAAACAAATATTCCAGAAAGTTCCAGGACTTTCTATCTGCCTTCCTCGTCAGAACAGCTTTTCCCCTTTCAGAGTTAAAGGGCCCCAGGGACGTGGAAGGATTTGCTATTTCTTAAGTATCGATATTAAACATCTTCTACCCTGAGAGCTTTGCTCTAAAGTCCTGGGCCCTGGGCCTCGGACACCCTCTCCACTCGACCATTTTCTGCCCTTGGAATGTTCTAGACTCCAACCCTGCTCCTTTCAATATCAGCAACCAGCAGGACCACGTGGACAGGTGTCCCAAGGCCTGACAGGAGCTTGCATAGGCCCTTGTAGCTGCAAATACCTACCCTGCCTGAAAGGCCACAGGGCCCTCTGGTGGCTTGGATCAGAAGCCCCAAAAAGTCCCACAGTCCAGAGGGTCCAGATTCCAGAAGTTTCCTGGTGAGCCCATGGCTCCAGGTAGCTAGTGTAGATTCCACTTTTGTATGTAGGACCCTGTGAGGCAGGGCCTACAGAATGCCACTTAAATGCACTCTTGGGAATGGCTTGCATGACTTGAATGATTAGAAAACCCCCCACCTCCACAACACACAACCAGTACCTACCCAGCACCACATGCCGCAAGCTGGCTCTACCCTTTATGGTGTTCATTGAAACCGTGGGCAACTGGTTTTCCTTTCCTCACATCTGAAGCCCTTCTGTGCCTTTCCTGAAGGGCGGCAGCAGCAGCCAAAGACGAGGAGGATAAGACTATCCACCCATTCTAAGTAGACCTGCCTTCTGCATCACTGAATGAAAAGGGAGAGCATAGCCAGAGGCAGGAACATCTGGGAGAGTCCAGAGTGAGCATGATCCTGAGCTGAACCACAGGAAGAGAAGGGAGAGCCAGAACAAGAGGCCAGGACTGGAAAGCACAGATCAAAAAGAGCCAGATAATCAAAATGAATGGATTATATAGGGGAGGGCAGCTGGGGGAAGGGCAGCCCAGCCCCTGGGCTGGAGTTTAGGGTACAGGTGGGGACTGAAGGATACTGGGAGAACGCGGTAGCCAAGTCCTCCCAGCTCGATATGTTAAATAGACGTCTCAGCTAGCCATTTGTCCTGGGTTTGAGACTAATCATCTCCATGCAGACTTCACTTGGTAAACATAAATTTGACCCAGTCTTCTATTTTTCTTGGTGCAAAATGCTGGCAGTAGTTGCCACCACCGGGGTGTCAGGACCGTGAGAAATGATGGCTCATATTTGCTGTCAGTTCCCTGTAGCATCAACAGCCCTCGGGTTTCGGTGTTGAGCCTTGAACTCCTGCTGGGACCTCATCTACTGTGAGGTCTGGAAAAACATAATAGAGGTTTGGGTTTGTTTTGTAACTAGACCATAAGAGCCAGAAATGAGTCTCTCCACTTTTCAGAACTCCCAGAATGTAAAATACCTGTTGTCACTCAGGTGACAGCAGTCGGTGAAGGTCCCTCGCTACCTGCGGCAGCCAGGTGCAGTTTTTCAGCAGGAGGAAGCATAACTCTGGGTTGGTAACAGTGGGGACTTCAGAAGACTTAGGGGAGAAGGTGGGACGGACATCGGCACAGCCCCTTTGGGGTCATAAACCGGAAGGAAGCACACAGCCAGGCTTGAGTCTCAAACAGTGAGAAGGCTGTAACCACAGGAATCGCTGTTAATGAAAGTGAAGGCCACAGCCCCGGTGAGGCCAAGGGAACCGGCCTCATGACATTTTGTGGTACAAACATGAATAAGGACAAAACTTTCCTCCCAGAAGGCCACTCGCTCAGCCCACCTGTCCCCACTTCCTGGTAATGCTCAGAAGTGGAGGTATGCGTACATGCTCGCCCCGCCCCCCAAGACTGTCCTGCCCCAGCCTCTCCAAGGCTTCTTCCTGCCTGTTCTATACTCTGAAATTACAGGTGCATCATGACCATCAGCTGCCCTGCCAGGGCGATGCCATCTGGTCCTTAGCCAGATTTCAGGGAGGGACAGTAAACTACAACCTCCATGACAGACTTGCAAAGTTCCCTCAAGCCCCCCCCACCCCAGCCCGGGCAGAGTAAACCCACAAGGGTCTGTCTCATGGCCTTTGCTCCTAATGACACAAGGCCACACAAGGGCAGGTTTCCCAGGACCGCCTTGGACAGGGCTGCGCAGACCCCCTTCCCCGGTTCCAGGTGTTAGTACATCTGTGTGGCTTCACGGTGCCAGCCACAAGGCATTTCTAGTTAACATGCCCCAGATTCCCCGTGGAGTCCAGACATGCCCAGCCACCTTCTCTGCCCCTCATCTCTGCACACAGCTTTCCTCCCTTGCTCTCAGACCACACCATCTCCCAGGTCAGTTTCTGCGTTCTTAGTGCCGGAAGTGCTCACCTCCTAATTCCGGAAGCGCTTATAAAAGGACACGACTCTTCCTACCTGACTACCAGGTGCCACGTGAAGTCCACCATGCTGAGCCCACTGTGCGTGGGAACCCCTGGTGCCGACTGTTTCACCGTGTGAGTCCAGCACACAATAGGACCTTGGGCGATGGGGTGGGTGAATGAACACCAGCTTGTGGCGTGCACAAAAGGCAGGCCGCAACAGGAAAATTAATAACTTCCTAATATTTAACCCATTTTTTCAAAACCAAACAGTGAACTCAAGAGAGGCCTTGTCCCAGTCCCACAGGGCTTGGTGTGTTCATTTCTGGTTACACAGTGGTTGTTTTCTGGCAAGAGCCAGCTCCCTTCACTGCAGAAAGTAATAAGGACATGACTCCCTCAGGTCCCCAACCTGCCAAGTCTCCATCTGCTCCCAGCAGCCTGCAGTCACCTGTGGCCCTCCTGCCTATAAAGCTCTCTCTGCTGGAGCTCAATGGCTCCTAGGGGACAGGCAAGGGAAGGGCGGGCAGCCAGTTGCTGTTGACCAGACAACGTGAAACTGGAACTTCCCCGAGGAGGACATTCCATAAGTGGTGATCAATGGGGCTGCTACCGGGACTCCGCAGCGCCCACTGCAGGCCACATGAGAACAAGGCACATGGCCTCAAAACCTCCAGGGACTGCCAGCCACCCAGGCTCTCCTTTATCCTCCACCTGCTGCCAGCGGTCCCCATAGCCTCTGAGGACCACAGGGTCTTCTGCATGACTCCAGTCCTTCCTAAGGTCCAACCTACCAAGATTGGGTTGGGATGCCCTTTAAGAGCCGAAACGCACAATGCTGGATGCCATGGCCTCCCATCTCCCAAGGCTCACAGCCTCTCCCTGTTTCTTTGCTTTTCATTGTGTTCATAGTGAACTGTCAAGTTCCCCTTCCTGGCTTCCACGAGTCCTTAGACCCCACTCTCTGCACCTCTTCTCTCCTAAAATGTTGTCGTTCGTCTCCTGCCTCATACAACCCACAGTAAACAAGACCAAGCTCCCCTGTCTGGAACCGGACCCCATCGTCTCCCAAGCCCAGTCCACCCCTATCCACACTCCCACCTTTACAGACCTCAGGGGCAACTGTAGGACACTTAGTGCCTAAAGCATCAATAATTTATAGCCGTGCAGGTCCGGAGATCAGAAGTCCAAAGTGGGACTCATAAGGAAGGTCAGCAGGTTGGGGTGCTCCTGGAGCCTCCAAGGTAGGACTCTTTCCTGCTCTTCCAGCTTCTTGGGAATTAACACAGCTGACCTCGGGGCAGGGCTCCCAGCCTACTCCAGTTTCTTATGGTCACACGGAGCACACCTGGGCAGCCTGGGTCACACCTGCATAGCCTAGGTACCCTCCCCAACTCACGTGATCATATGAACTTAGTATCCCTTGATATAGAAGGTGGTAGATCCACATTTCAGGGACCACGGGGGACATCTGTGGGCTGAGGAATAGTCTCTGCCAGCCAGAGTGGTTCAGAGCAGCTGGGACTCTGAGGGGTAGATGTCTCCTATTCCTTTCTGGACTGTAGGCTGTTCTCACTGGGCCGCTGTTCTTACTCCCAAATGATTCTCACGTGGGTCCTTCCTCCAGCTCTGTTCTTGGTGCTGGGTGATACCATCATCAGACAGGTCCCTCCCATGCCCTAACTCTCCAGGCCTCATCTTCCTCTTCTCCAGAATGCCTGTGCTCTGCCGTCAGCCCGAAGACTACACAGGGGTCTCCCGGCTCAGTGTGCAACATGGTCACCTTGGATGCTTCCTAGGATACTCCCAGAGCTTCCGATTGTCAGCAGAAAGTCTGGGGAGGCCAAGGAGTTTTGTTTCCAACAAGGTCTCAGGTGACATCCTAAATGCATGAACAAGTAGGGCAGTGGTGGCGCACACCTTTAATCCCATCACTTGGGAGGCAGAGGAAGGCGGATCTCTGTGAATTCGAGGCCAGTCTGGTCTACAAGAGCTAGTTCCAGGACAGGTTCCAAAAGCTACAGAGAAACCCTGTCTCAAAAAAAAAAACAACAACAACAACAAAACCCCCAAAACCAAACAAACAAAAAGGGCATCAACACTGACCTCAGGCTGTTGTCTCCATTTGGAGCTCCAGCTCTCGACAGTGTTTTCGCTACCATCCAAATCCAGTCACCACACACCCCTGGGGCCGGCGATGCTCTGACCCTCTGCCATTCTTCCCCAAACTTCTATGTCTCCCAGAAGAACCTGCATACTTCAGGGCTGTCACATGACCCCAACTGCTTAAATCTCCCAATGCATTGTCC